AAAGACAAATATCATATGATATCACTTATATGTGGAATCTAAAAAAAGACACAGGGAGTTCCCTGGTGGCCTAGTGGTTAGGATTCAGCACTTTCGCTGCCATGGCCTGGGTTCAATCCCTGGTGGGGGAACTGAGATCCTGCAAGCCTGGTGGTGCAGCCAAAAAACAAAAAAAAGACAGATACAAATGAACTTATTTACAAAACATAAACAGACTCACAGACACATAAAACAAACTCATGGTTACCTTATGGTTACTTATGGTTACCTCCCCTTTACCAAAGGGGAAAGGGGGAAGGGATAAATTAGGAGTATGGGATTAACATATACACACTACTATCTATATAAAATAGATAACCAACAAGGACCTACTGTATAGCACAGGGAACTATACTCAATATTTTGTAATAACCTATAAGGGAAAAGAATCTAAAAAATTATATATATATATATATATATATATATATATAACTGAACCACTGTGCTGTACACTGAAACTAATACAACATTTTAAATCAACTATACTTCAATTAAAAAAATAAAAATAAATAAATAAATTTAGTGAAAAAAACCCCAGTATGGTATTGGCATAAAAACAGACACAAACAACAACAGAACAGAATAAAGAGCCCAGAGACAAACCCATGCATATATGGTCAATTAATTTATGACAAAGGATCCAAGAATATACAATGGGAAAAGGACAATATCTCCAAAAAATAGTGTTGGGAAAACTGGACAGCCACATGCAAAAAATGAAACTGGATTACTATCTTACACCATATAAAAAATTAACTCAAAATGAATTAAAGAGTTGAATGTAAGACCTGAAACCATAAAACTCATAGAAATCATGGGCAGTAAGTTCCTTGACATCAGTCTTAGCAATGATTTTTTTGGATCTGACTCCAAAAGCAAAGGCAATAAAAGCAAAAATAAACAAGTGGGACTACATTAAACTAAAATGCTTCTGCAAAGCAAAGGAAACCATCAACAAAATGAAAAGGCAACCTACTGAATGGGAGAAAATATTTGCAAATTATATATCTGACAAGGGGTTAATATCCAAAATATATAAAGAACTCATACAGCTCAATAGCAAAAAACAATCCAATTTAAAAATGGACAGAGGATCTGAATAGACATTTCTCCAAAGAAGACATAGCAATGGCCAATAGGTACATGAAAAGATGCTCAACATCACTAATCATCAGTGAAATGCGAATCGAAACCACAGTGAGCTATCACCTCACACCTGTTAGAATGCCTATTATCAAAAGGATGACAAGTAACAATTGTTGGCGAGGATATAGAGAAAAGAGAATCCTTGTGCACTGTTGGTGAGAATGCAAATTGGTGCAGCCATTATGGAAAACAGTATGGAAGTTCCTCAAAAAATTAAAAATAGAACTACCATATGATCCAGCAATTCCACTTCTGAGTATTTATCTGAAGAAAATGAAAATACTAACTTGAAAAGATATGTGCACTCCCATGTTCATTGCAGCATTATTTACAATAGGCAAGATATGGAAGCAACCTAAGTGTCCATCCAATGGATGAACAGATAAAGAAAATGTGAGATAGATATATATATAGATACAGATATACACACATACACAATGGAATATTATTCAGCCATGAGTAAGAAAGACATCCTGCTGTTTACAACAACTTGGATGGACCCTGAGGACATTAGGCTAAGTGAAATAAATCAGACAGAGAAAGACAAATAGTGTATGATCTCACTTATATGTGGAATCTAAAACAAAACAAAACAAACAAAAAAACAAACTCATAGATATAGAGAACAGATTGGCGGTTGCCAGAGGCAAGAGGAGAGGGTAAAATGGGTGAAGGGAGTCAAAAGGTACAAACTTCCAGTTAAAAAGTAAATAAGTCATGGGGATGTAATGTACAGGCATGGTGACTATAGTTAATAATATTATATTGCATATCTGAAAGCTGCTAAGAGAGTAAATTTTTTTTTTTTTTTTTTTTTTTTTTTTTTTGCGGTATGCAGGCCTCTCACTGTTGTGGCCTCTCCCGTTGCGGAGCACAGGCTCTGGACGCGCAGGCCCACCGGCCATGGCTCACGCACCCAGCTGCTCCGCGGCATGTGGGATCTTTCCGGACCAGGGCACGAACCCGTGTCCCCTGCATTGGCAGGTGGACTCTCAACCACTGTGCCACCAGGGAAGCCTGAGAGTAAATCTTAAAAGTTCTCATCACAAGAAAAAAAAATTCTGTAACTATGTATGGTGATGGATGTCAACTAGACTTATCATGGTGATCATTTAACAATACATACAAATATCGAATCACTATGTTGTATATCTGAAACTAATATAATATTGTAAGTCAATTATACCTCAATTTAAAAATAAATAAATAAATAAAAGTATGGTATTGGTAAAAATAGACAAATTTATCAATGCAACAAATAGAGAGCCAGAAAATAGACCCACACAAATAGAGACAACTGATCTTTGACAAAGAAACAAAAGCAATTCAATGGAGAAAGGACAGCCTTTTCAATAAATGGTGTTGAAACAATTTGATATCCATACGCAAAAAGAAAATATCTAGACACAGTCCTGACAACTTTCACAAAAATTAACTCTAAATGGATCTTAGACTTATAGGCAAAATAAAAAAATATAAAACTTCTGCAAATAGGGAGTTCCCTGGTGGCCTAGTGGTTAGGATTCCAGACTTTCACTACTATGGCCCAGGTTCAATCCTTCGTCAGGGAACTGAAATCCCGCAAGCTGCACAACGCAGCCAAAAAAAAAAGAAAGAAAGAAAACTTCTGCAAATAACAGGAGAAAATCTAAGTGACTTTGGGTTTGGCAGTGTTTTAAAATATAACACCAAAAGTACGTCACGTGAAAGAAAAACTGAAAAGTTGGACTTTATTAAAATTTTAAAATTCTGCTCTGTGAAAGACACTGTTAAGAGAATAAAGAGACAAGTCCAGAACAGGAGAAAATACTTGCATGACACATAACTGATAAAATGACTTGTATTTAAAAATATACAAAGAGGGACTCCCTCCGTGGTCCAGTGGTTAAGAATCCATCTTGCAATTCAGGGCACGCCAGTTTGATCCCTGGTCAGGGAACTAAGATCCCACATGCTGCACGGCAACTAAGCCCACGTGCTGCAACTACTGAGCCCATGCGCTCTGGAGCCAGTGTGCCACAACTACAGAGCCCATGCACTCTGGAGCCCACACACCACAACTAGAGGGAAGCCTGTGCGCCCCAACAGAGAACCCACGCACTGCAAGGAAAGATCCCGCGTGCCGCAACTAAAACCCACCCAACACAGCCAATAAATAAATAAATAAATAAATAAATATTTTTAAATAAATTTTTAAATAGTAAAATAAAATATACAAAGAACTCTTAAAAATCAACAATAAGAAAACAAACAACCCCATTACAAAATGGGCAAAAGATCTGAATAGACCTTGACCAAAGAAAATATACGGATGGGAAATAACCATGTAAAACCATGTCCAACATCATTTTTCATTATGGAATTTCAAATTAAAACAATAAGATACCACTACACACTTATTAGAATGGTTAAAATCCAAAAAACTGACAGTATTAAATCCTGGCAAAGATGTGAAGCAACAATAATGTTCGTTCATTGCTGATGAGAATGAAAATGATGAAAAACTGTGGAAGACAGTTTGGTAGTTTCTTACAAAGTCTTACCATATGACCCACAATTGCACTCCTAGTCATTTACCCAAATGAATGGAAAACTTATGTCTACACCATAACCTGTACATATATGTTTATAGCAGCTTTATTCATAATCACCCCACGCTGGAAACAACCAAGGTGTCCTTCAACATGTGAATGGATAAGCAAACTGGGGTACATCCATACAATGGAATATTATCCAGTGATAAAAATAAATGAGCTATCAAGCCATGAAAAGACATGGAGGAAACTTGAATGCAAATTGCTGAGTTAAAGAAGCCAATCTGAAAAGGCCACAGACTGTATGATTCCAACTATATGACATTTTAGAAACGGCAAAGCTATAGAGACAGTAAAAAAAGTGTGGTTGCCAGAGTTTCAGGCAGGGGGAGAGGAAAGATGAATGAATAGCTAAAGCACAGATGAAACTGTTCTGTATGAACTGTAATGGTGGATATATGTCATTATGTATTTGTCAAAACACATAGAATGTGTAACACAAAGAGTGAACCTTACTGTAAACTGTTGACTATAATTAATAATAATGTATCAATATTGGTTAATTGTAACAAATGTACCACACTAATACTACCATCTCAATTATTCTGTAAATCTAGAACTACTAAAAATTAGGTCACTTAATTGTTTTAATGCTCTTAGCATACAATCCACCAATTGCACTCACATGCATTCCTTCGATACAAAAATCTTACACAATCACAGCATCCTTATTCATAACAGCCAAAAACTGGAAACAACCAAGACTCCTTCAACTAGTGACTGGTTAAGCAAACTGTGGTAAATCCATACCATGGAATGCTATTCAGCAATAAAAAGGAACAAACTATTCATATATGCAACAATCTGGACGAATCTCCAGAGAATTATGCTGAGTAAAAAAAGCCAGTCCCAAAAGGTTACATACTGTATGATTCTACATATATAACACTCTTAAAATAACAAAATTATAGAAATGGAGCACAGATTATTGGTTGCCAGGGATTAAGGAGGGAGAGGGGGAGGAGGGAAGTGGGTGTGACTATTAAAGGGCAATATGAGAGATCCTTGTGGTAAAGGAAATGTTCTGTATGTCAATATCCTGGTTGTGATACTGTATCAATACCAAGATTTTGCAAGATGCTATGATGGGGGAAACTGGGTAAACAGTACATCAGTACATTGCATTTGAATTTACAATTATCTCAAAATCAAAATTGGTCTAAAAAATAAAAAAATTTTTAAAAATTAAAAAATGGGGAAAAGTAGGCTCCTCTTACTTACCTCAAATGATCTGCCAGGTTGTCCTGGAACCAGGGCAGGAAACCTCTGGGGTGATTTCCCATTAGCTGGCATGTTGACTCTGAGTACCAGCCCACCTTCCAAAGCTGGAGAGGCCTTTGTACGTGGGCTGCAGTCAGAATAAATGGAAGATCCTGCAGCCTCCAATATGCGGAAAGTTCAACAGCTCCACAGAGACACCAACAAATCCTAAAAGGACATATCCACGTCATCACTGTCATTCCACATTCGCCCCACAAAGTTCAGCAACTCCCACTCTGAGTATTAGTGAGGGTAGATTGTGGAAACAATCATGATATTTGGAGTCAAATTAATGAACTCAGAGTCCGTTACTCTTGGGTGGCTCCACACGGGGTGCTTCACACTTTAGCCAACCAGCTCATCCCTCAATTCCAGGTTCACGGCAGATCTGGGTTTGGGGAGAAGGTCGAAGTGAGGCAGTGAATGGTGCTGAAGCCCCATGGGGTAGGCAGGGGAAGGACTTGTCCATGGGGTCCTGGTGAGTGCGGCAGCAAAAAACATGGAAACCTGGTAATCTTAATGAAAGGGGTCTCTTCTGTCCACTTTAATTATTTCACCATTTTAGGGTGAAAAATCCCTCTTAATTTCTTCTGCGGAGAAGCTCTGAGCCTCTTCTTTCCAGAAGATGGTTCAACATTAATAATATTGATTAAATCAACAAATTAGAGCGGGGGGAGGAAACATGCTGCTTTTAACTTACACCAAAAAAGCATTTGACACAATTCAGCAGTCATTACTAATAAAAACTCAAACTAAAATTAGGGAGGAAGTAAATCACTTAAATATCACAAAAATTGGGCTTCCCTGGTGGCGCAGTGGTTGAGAGTCCGCCTGCCGATGCAGGGGACATGGGTTCGTGCCCCGGTCCGGGAAGATCCCACATGCCGCGGAACGGCTGGGCCCGTGAGCCATGGCCGCTGAGCCTGCGCGTCCGGAGCCTGTGCTCCGCAACGGGAGAGGCCACAACAGTGAGAGGCCCACGTACCGCATTAAAAAAAAAAAAAAATCACAAAAATCATTTACAAAACATATCCCTGAAATACTATGCTAAAAAGTAAAATGATGAAGCAACTGCCATCAAAATTAGTAAAAAGATAGGGATGTCTGATACAACTCAAAATTGTTTTTTCTGGCTCTAGGTCACACAATAGAAGACGAAATAATCAGAATAAATATTGCAAAGAAATGAAAATGTAGCTTTCTTTGCCAGTGATATGATTTTATACATAGAAAAGCTACCCCAGACTCTACCAGAAGTCATAGGGTAATTTGATAAGGGGCTGGATACAAGATAAAATTACAAGATCAGATAGTTTTTTCCCTGTATAATAATGACCAAATGAAAACGGAAAAAAAAATCAGTAATAACAAGAAAAATATAAAATATGTAAAATAAACTCTTTAAGGAGCTGCACCCATAAATTTAAAAAGTTAAAAAAATTGACAAATATAAAATAGTCACACAGACATACCATACCCCTGGATAAAAAATTTAATTAAAATGTCAACCCTCCCAAAACATTATAGTAATGTAAAGAATGAAAGAGAAAAATTAAACACAAAGCTCAATAATAAGATGGTGTATATAACATTTTGTGGAACGCAACTAAAGAGACTCTTAAAGGGAAATTCATGTTTTCAAATGCCTTTTAACAAAGAAAGGCTGAACATTAATGGATTAACAGCCAATTTAAGTTAGATAAAAGAGAAAATAGCACAGATAGCAGGAATTAG